TCTTATTTTTATGGCAAATTAAAATATTGATTCAATTATTATCTTTATACCAATAAATCTTAAGTCCAATCTTCAGCTATTCTAATAATAGAATCCAATAATTTCATAAAATATGTCTTAAATTCCTATGTGCTTGCTATACACATATTGATATTTTGAATTGTGTTAGAAGTAATATCTGCTAAATTGCTCATCTTTTTCTCAATAACATCCTCAATATGCTAAATTAATTTTTTAAATCCCATTGTCCTCCCATTTTTATCAAAATTTTCCAGGCATTGAATGCACAAAAATCTTTCTTTCATTTTGATGTTTGGATCAAGCATAACCAAATGTATTGGCTAGCCATGATTATATTGACAACAAATATCTTTTTCATTTTCTATCATCTTTGGTTAAAACATTTAATTAAATTAATAAATTTATTAATTGAGGTTGAGATTATAAATTTTAATCTTTAACAGGTTATAATCGTAGTTCATTCAAATGAAAGAGTTTAAAGCGACCCTTTACCAATTTTTCAATTTTTGAGTACAAATTTATCATGAAAAACTTACTTAGTTAATGAGTTATATTAATATTTTCAATAACATAAAAGCCTCTTAAATTCTGAATATTTACCAAACAATAGAAAGGCACAAATAAAACCATTAGATTGTAAGCAGAATCTAATTGAGCTATATGAACAATTAATAAATTGTTAACACTTAATGTTGCTTCAAGCACATCAATTTGAATCTATCGAAAGCTAAGATAAAAAAATATAGAATTTAAAAACTCAAATGCTCTAACATGGATGAAAAATACAGCTTATTATTGATTTACAAAAAATTTCTATTTTTGAAAGCTGTTAAATCTTTTTCATACAAGAATCAAGTTTTAGAAAAAAAAATACTAAATGAGCACTTTACTAATGAATAATTAATGTAAATTTAACACTTCAATCAAACATATGTAAATTATAATGAATTTTGTTTTCCAAATTTTCAAATCCTTTAATAATGTTTCAATTAAAATCCTAATTTCAATAATTCTGGATTTAAGGAGAACTGCTCAAAATACACTCCGAGAAGGAAATAAATTCAATAAGAAACATGATTCCCATAATTATTTAAATGTTTTCTTTTTTTTGAGCTATTTTTAGTAAAACAATTCTTTATTTTACGAATATATTGTAGGTTGTGATTACTCTTAGGATATTTTATGATCTATATGTCTTCCTTAATATTAAAAGGAAACACTGTTTGCCACCAAAGCGTTTCTAATTTCAATTTGCTCTTTATTTCTCCAAATGCTCAGCTTTCCTCATCCCTTTCCCAAGAACGTTAGATTCTAAAAATTTTTATTTATTACATCAATTATTTTTCTAAAAAGTTAATAACTCATTTAATTCAATCTTTATAATTTTGTTTGAAGTATGATTATTCTATTCCATGATAGATTAAACCAACATCGCTTTCAACTCCTCTCTAAGACTGATCCTATTTACTATTATAACTAATTTTAACAAGTTTATTTTTCAATTTTGCTTGAAAGTATTATAATCGAGTAAAGTCGGCATCAGTATGTTGATAAAAATATTTAATCTTCCCAATCTTTCTTAAATTTAACATTTTTAATATTCTAAATATCTATTTTGAAACATAATCTCATAATCTCCTTAATTTCTTTCTCTGACCTAAAAACCTTACATATACCTTCCTATTCTTGTATAGACTAATGTTGTTCAATTATAATAATAAAGATTTGATTCACTCTACTCCATATATGAGATACATAATAAGATTTATTATACATCAGATTATGAATTCTATAGAGTCTTGTTGCATTAGAACACAGGTTTCTCAAGTTTCCTTACTCAAATCCAGTTTTTGCTATTCTAGTTTTGTTTTAATTTCAGGGTAATTGCATGGAAAATTATAGTTTGACCTGACATCACCTGCTTCATTTCATCTGAATATTCTCATTTATTTTTTTTTTGATTTAGTGAATTAATTTTCATAATAGTTCTCGATATTTATTATTTATAGTTGCCTTTTCTATCATCAGGCAAATTCTATTATTTGTTCTAATAATAGCTCGTATGTCTTTCCTTATAAAAATAGTCTTCTCAAACTTTATAATCTCAAAATATTTTGTTCATAATTAATTAATTTTGCTAGAGTATATTAAAAGAATTATGAAGTGTTAAATGGGTGTCAAAAAAAATTAGGTTCAAAACGAAGGTAATACAGAGTTATAAATTTAAGATAGAGTTGATGATTGGATTGAGGAAAGGTGAAGATTTACTAGGACCTCAATCTTGCTGAATAACAATCTCACTGATCTATCACCAAATCATTAAGGACTAGCCTTTACTCTTTTCAATTCTGTATCAAATCAGTAGGACCCAAGAATAAATTTTGGTTATATTTACATAAACTACTTCAGGTGGAATCGAAATTAACTCCGCACTTGACCTATCCCCACCGCAAAATAAGATTATTTAGATATAAAGCCTATCAATAATTAAAACTAGCATGTAAATTAGAAACTGCCAAACTATTAAAATAAACTTTGACAACCATTATTTTTGATTCCTCAATTCTTCCTAATAAATATTTCTAAAATATGTTAAAATACCTTAATCTACATCAAAAAAATTAGAAGTGACTATAAGAGATTTCAATTTTAGAATATTTGCATGATTTAATCTTATAAATTTATCTGCAAGGTGGTTTAATTTCTATTATTTTTCTTGAGGTGAATACTATTTACTAGATTAATATAATGTCTCTGAATTCATCTGCTTCCAATTTGAATTTAATTATTTTCCAAATTAAATATATCTATTGCACCAGACAGATTTTATCAGACATTTTAAATATATTGCAAAAATTACAAATAGTATCAATACATATTAAACTTGAAATTATTGAGATGATGATATCCTAAGAACTAGCATCAGGCTTGATGCGTATGTAAAGGATCACAATGACCCATGAAGCCATCACACTAATCACAGCTAGTACTTATAAAGAATACTATCTAATGATTATCATCAAAGTAAATAAATTTGATATCGGATATTTCAGTCTCAAAACCTATGAGAATTATACATACTCTTAGAAAAAAATTAGAAAGCATCTCAAATTTAATGTCCTTAAAATTTTATGGTTTGAGCTATGATATTTTTGTAACAAAATATTGTGTTGAAAACTGGATCTTTCTTTCGATCCAGAAATCAATTCAAAATTCAACTCCCTTTTCCTTTCTACATAATATGCATTATTAAGAAAAACAAAAGGAGAAAATTTAAATAATAAGGAATTTGTGAGTGCTATCATCGCAAAAACAACAACAGTATTACATCGAAGATATTTCTAATTTGCAAATGTATCAGCACAGAAGCCAAGCTTATCTGTTACACTGATGATGTATTTTAGTAAAAAAATCAAATTTGCAATTCCAGCTTTTAAGTATATTTATTAATACTTATGAAGGAAATTTATTTAAATAGGGCAGAACAATAATGCAAAGTATCCTAATTAATAGCTGCTTTGCTTCAGGAATTTCAAATAAGTTGTCCAGTCTACTAAGCCATCCATCATTAGAAGAACTTCTAAGAATCCACCAACCAATTTTATAAACACATTATGGATGTATTTATCTGATTGCTAAAATATTTATATAACACTTCTTCACTGAAAGGGTTGCAGTGCATAAAGAATCTTGTAATCTTGAAGTTAGGGTTATCATTAATTCCCCTTAACTAGCAAACTTGGTTCCTCACATATATCTATTGATTGTTCATCAAATTTTAGGCTTTCATGAAAAAAGTTGAAACACCCTGACTTCTTATGGCCAGAAGTAATATTTCTTTCCATGCATTTTTGTAGTTCTTCTTCTTTCTGACATATTTTAAAATCTTAAGATGATTGTCTCATTCCATTAAAGGTTCTCAATTATTGACCATAGATTTTTAATCTTAAGCAAGGGCTATCTTTTATCTTGTTATTGAGGAAGAAGATTTGGTTTTAATGAGGCTACTAAATTTTATAATTAAGAGAAGACTTATTATTTGATTTATCCTAATCAATAATTTCTTTTAACTAGTTGTTCCCAATAATTCTATTCTAATTAATATCTTATGGTCGATCTTTACAGTATGTTATTTTAAGTTTAGGAGTCTGATATTTTTTGCAGTTCGTCAAAGTGAAAATTATTTCTTCCAAAATTCTTCAATAATTAATCTTATTTATCAGCATTTCACCTTGCTTACTTCAGTAAATTAGGATGTTGCTTTAAAAGCCTTTCTTTTATTTAGAACCATTAGTTTAGATGGACTTTGCAGTAATTCATTCTGCTACAATAAAAGTAATATGATAAATTCATAATCTGCCTCTATGGGGATGTTTGGATTAAATTTTGATAAGAATTTACGAAATCATATACCAAGAAAATAATGTATTGGAAGCAAACTACAACCAACCTTTATCATTTGATACTTTTCTATTTGGTTATCTTTTCGCAGATATTTAAGGATTAATATGATAACTAGTTTTAATATTTTTCTATTATATTTTAATTTGAAATGTAATTAGTTCAACTTTCTTTGCTCTATTCCACAATACTTGAGATTCTGCTATAATCTGATTCATGTCTTGTAATTCTCTGTCTATTTCTTAATTTGGAAATATTGAGACAATATTTTGAATGTCCAATTAGCTGAGAAACAAGAGATCAGTATGATTGTAA